GAGGGAGAGAGAGAGAGAGAGAGAGAGAGAGAGAGAGAGAGAGAGAGAGAGAGAGAGAGAGAGAGAGAACCACCAAAGAACACACCAGTAAAAGGCCACGGATCGAACATGGGCGTGAGTCGACTCACAGAACGTCGCAGTTGTCACACAGCATCTATTCCTGGCACTGGGGGAAACGGGGGTGTTCCTTTCTTCCTTTTTTCCCTTCTATTTTTTCTTCTCTCTGTGTTTTTTTTAGTTTTAGTAAGAGTTTTAGGGTACTTGCAACACAATGAGGTCATATCAGTGATGAAGATTAGAGGTATTAAAAAAGAGAGTAACAAACACAAAAAAGAAGGAGGAGATAAGACGATAGATATTTGATAGAAAGAGGAAGCAAACCACACCAGAGCACCCGCCAACCACTCACGGGGATGTTCAGTTTGGCACAGTCAGAACAGGGAGGGGGTGAGAGGGGGGCGGATGGTGTGAGGGAGGGGGGAAGAGGGAGAGAGAGGAGGGTGAGGTCGTTACAGGAGGCTTCGACTGCCGGGGTTTTTTGCTCTCGAGAGAGGGGAAGACGTAGGGAGAGACACACGCACACACAGACACACAGAGAGGGAGAGGAAGAGAGAGAGAGAAGGAGAGAAGGAGAGAGAGAGAGAAGGAGAGAAGGAGAGAGAGAGAGAGAGAGAGAAACAAACTAACACACACACTCCAGAACACACTCCCCACCCCACACACTCCACAGCACACCCCACACACACTCCCCAACACACCCCACACTCTCCCCACACACACCACAACACACCCCACACAGTTAACTGCTGCGATGCTCGCCAGAGGGCGGTTGGTGGGTGCAGTGGTTTGGCTCACGGCCACCTCCTTCGTCCATGCACGCGCGAGACGTGTAAGTTCCATTCCCGAGTGGGGGAGGTAGAAAAATGTAGTTTTCTCGTTTTAGTAGAATTTACGGCGCTCGCAACTGCATAAGGTCATATGAACGCCAGGGGGTGGACATCAACAGAGAAGTCATTACAGGGAATAGGACTTACTCTGCTCATCTCTCTAGCCTAAACAGCACAAAGTCTGCTTCGACTATCAAGGCACCTCGGAAATAGTGGGTAACAAGAGTGTGACAAACATACAAAAGAAGTAGAGGAAAATGACGATAGTAAGAATTAGGAAAGAAAAAGCAGCAGTTCCCCGTTGCAGTTCAGGTATTTATGAGCATGACCAGGGGCGAAGCGTCTATATAATCAAATAATCACTGCTTCCCTTTCTAATTTTGAAACATTGTCGCTGTCAAATTCATCCTTAAACGTAAACCTCATAAATTAAAT